CATGATGGAGTAAGCATCTGTTTAACTTTCAGTCACAATTGGGAGAGCAGTTCCGTGTTTTTCAGTTACAGTCGGATGTGCGTGCTTTAGGAGGTCGACGTCGAAGGTGTTCCAAAGGCTCGGAAACCGAAACGTCTCTTTCCGTGTCTTAGTAACAAATTATGTATTACATTTTCGAAAGTTACTACCACGGTCAATGCTTGGACTAATTAGGCAAGGCTTCAAGGTTGAATAAATTATATTGGCTCGCGGAAAGTGATTTACAGCAGGACAGATCCTGCTTACCTTGAACTTTCCGATATGTCTGGACGCGTTCTGAAACATTGCGTAAGTCGATCATGCTCAAAGACATGCTGTCTTTTGAATTATCAACCTGGACACGCTTCTTCACTGAACCTCCCCGTGGAAAGGACATACTTCTAAAGGAACTTACTTTAAAATGCAACACAGTTTCCTACTTGGATTAGAAGTATTAGATTTCCTCGAAATTTAATGTATATTTGAATTCATCGTCCCTGCTGAAGATTCTTCAAGATTCTGCATAAGAAATATAGCTCGTTCGCGGCTTCTGACTCAAATGAGTTGCCGAAAATCGTGTTTTAAGTAGTATACTAATTTCCCGTTTGTTCACATGTTATAAATTAATATATATTCCAGGGCCTTGAAAAAACCTGTAGTCGCACCAAGTCTTATTCAGATTAAAGTCAAATAGTTTAAGAACAAGTTAATATTATAAATTATAGAGTATTAATTTTGTAAATTTAAAGCAAACAATAAATTAATAAATTTCAGGCATGGTCGACAGATTCAAGCTTAGCTCTAGCGCTGTGGCACCTAACGTCTCATCATCGTCTGCACGTTAGATCATATCATGTTTTACCTCAGACATATTATTTTTGTCAGTTTTCACTAACACCTGAATCACTGCTCTTTCCCTCTAGAATGTCTGTCAGTAGGCATCACCCATTTATTTAATAAAAGGCGCAATAAATATCCGAATAATATTGATAAACAATGGTATAAAGCATTCAAGATGGCCGTGACAGTGTGGCTGGTCGCGGAAGAGTTAGCATCGATCGAAAATAGCCGCAAGAAAGTTGACTTGGATCAGTGAAAAAATTTAAGCATCTTATATCTGCCGCGAAATACGGGACCTGGTTTAGAGGTATCTGGTTATTCATATTGCTAGCCTCGTCTTATCGTGAACTGGAACACAAGTAATGCCTATAGTCTCTTAGGGACAGGCCCGAGATTTAGGGTAAGTAGTTGAGACCATGATATCAGAGGTAGCTCAGTGGGCTGAAACTTGTCACATAAGAGCGAAGAAGTTCTCGCTCAAGATAAGCACCTTGAAATTTTTTCTGTTTGTTTCCTTTTTTCCATGTTATTTATGTTTCAATAAACAGACCATCTTGACTTCCATATTGTGACATGTTGCGCAAACGAGAACCCCCCCCC